TTCCCTGATTTCACAGTGAACTGTAACTGTAAGTTAAGCTGCTTCTGGCTTATCCAATAGCTTTATTCGGATTAAAGACAGACATTCAGAACAACTGCTTTGAATATTTAAGGGTTTTTTTTTGTTGTTGTTTTTTTTTTTTTTTGCTGTATTAGAATATCTTTGCTCTTTTGAATACCCAATTGCAAGGAATTTTTGACACATCTCATAATTTGCGAAAAATCACATCACTCCATGCCCCATGATTTTAGTATAATGTACTCCCGAGCACAGATTTTTTTACTTTTCTTTTCACGTCTTTTGTAGCTTTCTTCCGTTAGCAGAAAATCCTAAGTTCTTTGGAAACATTTAATTGTAAATTTGTCACTGTTTGGAATATCATCTATCTCAAACTCATTATAATCACTGTAATCTAAATATCAACATCCTTTTGGAGAAAGTTCAGCATACCTTAAATGCTATGTCTGTTACCTTTAACAACAAAATTGTATAAAGTATTTGAGTTCTTCAGACAATTGTTGCCATATTAAAGCGTTTGGTGAGACAATATTACAAGTATCACACTCCACTACTGAGTTTCTGTTACTGAGGAGAAGATGTTTTGTATTTGCAGGTTTAATTATTGCAGGTCTCCCTTTTATTCATGTTGACAAGTTTTGGGTCGAAGTTCATTTAGCTGTAAAGTAAAATAAATTCATAAATTGTATTTTATTACCAGATAAAATTATTTTAATTTCTTAAACTTAATAACAACACTTCTGTATTTGTATTTATTTCTATCCCATTTTTATTTCAGTTCACTATATTACACATAAAGATAATAAAAAAGAGAAAGGACTGGAAAAGTCATTGTTGGGTACAAATTTATTGTTGATTTGTTCATTAGGATGAAACCGATTCTTGTTGGCGCTGCAGTCACATGTATACGGATAAGATATACTGTATATGAAGAAATACTTTACAGATCTCTGAACATAGGTCCAAACCAAAGACAAAAAATAGGAACACATCAAGCTTAAGCTTAAAACCCTCAGTAGTCAACATTATATAATCAGAGACCATGTGCTCGCTGGCGTAAGTTTTTAAGTTGTTTTATATGTCTACTTTGTTTTGAAAGTTACTAGTAGGGAAACATATAGTGCGACGTGTTATTCATTTAGATGGAACTGTACCGTATTACTAGATCTACTATGGGACATCACTGACACCAGGGTCTCATTTAGATGGAACTGTACCGTTTTACTAGATCTACTATGGGACATCACTGACACCAGGGTCTCATTTAGATGGAACTGTACCGTTTTACT